ACGCTGAAGCCTGAACCTAGGACAGCTTGCGGCTTCACTGGCGCCGGGGCGAGGTACTTGGGGTTTGAGGGTTTGCATGGTGGGGGTTCATGGATTGTAGCACGATTGCTTGTGGGTTTATTGGTTCCACGTTTTTGCCTGTAGTCAGATTTCTACGGTTTCTTTTCAGCTTCAGGGTGTTTGTGTTTAGGAGTTCAAGACGGTCGCTGAAGCATCATGGCCTTTGTTGGGAGAGCGTTGGTAGACGGCAAGGCCAATTCGGGTGTGAATACGCTGCTGGCTGCTGGGGTACATGAGTGCACTGTGTTCTTTTGCGTTTGGCGTGCTTTTCATTCTGGGTTCTGTGCATACTGGGAAGTTCTCGGTCAGGGTTGTTGAGGTCTGGATTCTGAGGTTAGAGCTTCGCATCTCAATCCAGCTTGCACCTTGCTGCCAGGTGTCGAACTACGGCGCTGAATCTTGGAGTATTTTCCCAGTGTCATTCGCTAGAGAACGTTATGGCTTCAGGAATCGCACTGTCAGACATCGAGTGTGTGGGCTGAGTCCTAGAGCTGAGAGCTTGGGCATGCTAGTCCTCCTTTCCATGCTGGGCTCTGCCCGCCAAGGGCGCTTCCCTACATCCCATTGACGTTTCAACCTGTTTTTAGGCCAGCAGTCATAATTAATCATGACATTATTTAGTCTCTGCACACCCAGGAGGGCGGCTACTTGAGACAGACGCACCATGCGGAGCCCTATGAGTCGCTTGGCAGCCAGGTGTTGGACAGCAGTGAACGAAAGAACACTTCAAGTGAGACAAAAACGAAACCACGAGTGAGCGACATCTTAAGAAGTGTAGGCGGCAGTGGAGCACGGTTGGTGTTTGAGCTTTTCTGACTGGGCCTTCTGCCAGTTGTTTTCAGAAGTTTTCTGCAGCTACCAGTTTGAACGTGTAATCTGCTTTCCCAGCTTCATGTTCTCCATGTTTCATTTGTTCTACAGCTTCTTTTACGGCAGTCAGACGCTCATTGCCAGAGAAGCCTTGTGAGCTGCACGTTTGTCGGGTCTTTCAAGACATTTATGGTATGCAGGCTTTCCAGGCGCTATCATGTCGGTGCAGGGCAGCATTTTTTGTTTTTGCTCACGTTGGTTACACGCGTTCTTTGGGATATGTAGGAGCGGGGCAGTCAGCTGATAGTGGTTCTTCGGGTCATGTTGCACAAGGGGTGCCTTACCCTTCAAAAGTACCCAGACCATGAACACTTTTAGCTTGGCCTGGCACTTCTGCTTCAAAGGCCTGTGCACCTTTTGACCATTTTGCCCCACAGCTTGAGCCCTGACGTGTCCAAATTCTGAAGCCCATATCCCCCCAGACAGCTCAACGCGCGATATCGAAAAGATTTACCACGTGATTCTTATACCCCTGGTGCCCTGAGAATCCACATGTCCATGGACTGCTCAGCCCAGGATGATCATTGCCGTCGCGCAAGAGACGCGTTCAGCGGAGGATTCTGCGGGCTGGTCTCACTCTTGGAACTGCAGGTCCTTGTCTTCGCCTTTGGATATTACAGGGGCTTGCTGTCTCAGGCAGGGATGCCAGAGGAGTTTGCCTAGAAATGCTTTCCCCTTGCTTGAGTTACTTGTATCGCCTTCTGTTCAAGCCATCACAATTTGTGGACGGTGTACGTAAGGACAGTCATTATGCGCTAGCGTCAGAGAGTTTCAAGTTCCATGCTCAGAGGCTGGAGGTGGCAGTAGGGATGTCTGGAAGCGCATTTGGGAGGCTGGCAGCTGCAAGATATCAGAGAAGCATGCATGGATCCAGAAAATCAGTATGGATCAGCAGTACTATTCTGCATAGAAAGCTCCCCAATCTGGCTGTCTATCAGCCGGGATGGGCCAGATTAGGTACTGAACCCCAAAAGCCTTGATCGCTGCAGATGGGTCAGTAAGCTGTCCCCTCGCTTTCAACAGAAAGTAGTTGGGAGGCATCAAAATGGCTGAAGGCCTGTGTTTAGCATGCGCTTTGATTTCGGTATTCACGACGACTCCCCACGCGGCTCGGAGGCTCAGTGCTAAACCTACATCAGGGAAGCAAAGTACGAATGCCGAGCATGTGTGTACTCAGCCCCCGTAGTTGTCTGGATAATCCACTTCTCAGTTCATCCCATAGCCCCTTAAAAAGAGCAGCCTATGACTGAATTTCCGGCTGAATCCCCAAGAGATGCTCTGCGCGTTTTGGCGGGGAGGATCGCAATCAGTACTTGGGCAACTCGGTCGTCTTCTTTACTTCAGCCACCTGGCTATGGTTCTCAGTCACTTTGCCAAAGCCCAGGCGCCAGCAGAAGTCTAGGGTTACTGTCCTAACGCCTTCCCTAGGTCTTTCCTGCTTCTCATGACACCAGATGCAAAGATACTCAGTCTGTTGGAGGATTTCATCAGTTTTTGCCGAGCATGCAGAACCATTCAGCTGAGCATTCCGACTGCCTGATCCTTTCCTTCATCTTCATGTCATCCTTTACGTGTACTAAGGAGTGCAATGTCCTCGCCTTCCAAGGCGGGCCGTGAGTGCGGTCTGAGTGTAAATGAGCTATGCGAGGTCTTGAGAGGATATCATAAGTTACAGCTAGCGGAGTTTTCAACGCTGACTTCCATGATCAGGCCTCGTTTTTGGGACGTCAGGTCAATCAGGGAGGCTATTATTCTGGGGTCTGGAAGAAGATGAAAAGAACCACGAACATATGCACGCACCAGTGGCATAGGAATTGTACGGAAACAACATTAGTATTTCTTGAGATTGATATTTTACAAAATCCACAGTCAGAGACACTTGTGAGGCGACGATGCGATGACTCGCTCACGTTTCATCGCCCCCAGTGACTCACAGACCTTGGGCCATTGTTTCAGATCTTGGGAAATTCAGCGTGAGGTGTTCAGGCTTTGGGTTTCAGGGCTTAGCCCTCTTGTTGCATGATTCCAAGCCCGGCAACGGCCGTAGGCATCAAGGTTCAGGGTCTGCTTGGTGGGTTCAGGGTATTCTGGATTTTGCTTGTCAGCCACACCTCATGATCGGGATGCGGTCTCAACGTTGACTCTGACACACCTTTTTTTTCCTGCGTTCCAGGAGCTTTTGTAAACACCAAACCCCGAACTTCAAGAGCCTCCCTCCTAGATTTCAAGAGCTTTAACTTTACGCCCTGGTGCAACAACTTAGCTCCGATTGGCGGCTGCAAAATTCTGAGACAGCTTGTGTGCTGCCACCTTCTGGAAGTCCTTGTCGCTGGAATCTAGCTTACCAGCCCGAAGGCTTTATGAACAATGAAGCTTGAACGCGTAAAGCCTACCAAAGGCATCAGAAATGCCTTGAAGACAGCAAAGTAACGGGAGTTGTTTCCGTCCGAGGATCGTGGGGCTACAGTTCCAAGGCCGGAGTTGGTTTTGAGCGCACTTCAGGTTTGGCATGTGGGGCTTTGGCTAGGGTGTGTGGGGTTTTCCCGTAGCTTGGCGTTTTGCTTCTTGCTTCCAGCCTTCCCTGAACTTCGAGTGCACCTATGGAAGGCAGCGACCTCATTGGTGTCCACATGCAAGCCAACCAGGAGGTGCGTGTTCAAGTGAATGATGGGAAGTTCCATCCTTTTATAGCCTTCAGATACGCATGTATGGGTACTCTTCCCGCCAAAGCCAAAGCGCTTGAAGGGCTCCAAGATCTAAACCCTTTGCCTTTTTTTATGCCCGAACAGCCCCACATTTCCTACCCCTACATATTGGACCTTCATTCTGCTTATTGAGGATGCAAAAGGTCTTGGGTTGACAAGGCGTTGCCAAAATCTGCGATCTGACCACTGCAGTCTTTGTGCTTAGCAGTACCTTCTTGCTGCGGAGCTTAGATTTCAGGGTCTTGGTTTGATGTTGAGGATGCAGAGCTGCCGTGCTTCTGGTCAAGGGCTGTGTGTCAAACCAGAATGAAGTCCTTCTATGTTGATCCCTGTGTGAGCACTTGTCTCAGGCAGTGTACAAACAAGGCCCACATGCAATCTCAACGCAAGCATGCCGATCATCCTGAGGACCTGAATTCCCACATGCCAGCCTTACCCTGGGCACCAAGCGCCAAGCCCGGTAACCCAACATTTGCCTTCTCAATGGACAGACAACAGATTCTGTCTTTCAGGATGGCTGCGGCGCGGTTGCAGCGCTCGGTGGCCGTGTGGGCTCTGCCGTAGACGAGGCCAATCGTCACGAGGGTGTAGGTCCCCGAACTACGACCCCTCGCGATTCTGCAGGTGTTTTTGGAGCTGCGGCGGGGCCCTCCTCGGCGATACGGTCGACGCGGCGGTCAGCAGGCGCCGAAGCTTGTACCAAGATGTACCAAGTACGTACCCTTGAGCTCTATTGCAGTTTAGTTGCATCGGGATTGTGAGGGGACAAGTAGGCAATCCAAAGCAGGATCACAATCGTTGCGAAAGCCTGTAAGTTGTGGAAACGGTGTTTAGGGTCTGGATTTTTGTGTCTTAGGTCTTTAGCAAGACGACCGAAGCAAGGACTTGAGGTCAATGTCAGGCTATCACAGTTTTGTTTTACCTGAAAATCAACTTAACGAAGCTGGTCCGAGGCTGTCTACAAAGCCTCATGAGCTGTTGGTGTGATTTTGCAACAGGTCCAGAGGCAACTTTTTAAACAATGTGATTTTTGTATTAGTGTTTGGAGACTAGTCATGAACTGCGGTTAAAAGATCTATTTTCAGGGTGGTGAGAGTTGAATGGTTTGTTGGCAGGACGCCAGTCAACTATACTTCTGAAGGACAACTCAGCGTCATTGTTCCTTATGTGGGCGTCCATGAACAACATTCTGGCTCGCATGTCCCCAAACATGTGGTAGGCTGGGGGCAACAGTCAGTTGTTCTTTCACGCAGCTAAGTACTCCGAGCACGAGCACACTCACGGCAAGCCCTGTAACATGTTCTACTATCATTTGTTGCTAAAGCCCCCTGCTTTTTTCTGCCTTGCTCTCACGGTATCCAAGCAATGGCGACCGTCGCTCGGCTGTCCGTTCTACTGCTCCTCTCGGCCCACGCAGACGCGGCGGTGGGGTTCTGGTAGAAGTTAGAGCAGCAGTAGCAGTGGTGATGTTGCAAACAGTGTCAGTATTACCATAAGTAATTCCTACCACCACCAGCACGGAGAGTAGGACAAGTAGTAATAGCGGCAGAAGCAGCAATCCCACTGACAGTGAGCAGTTGTACTGAGTGATCGTATATTTGCGGCAATCAGACCTGAGGCCACTGGGGAGTGTTTAAGGGATTCCTGCAAGGCTCGGTGTATGGATCCGGATCCGCCCTTCAGGATTGAACATGCTTATCGCTTGTTGCAGGTCCACAATTGGGACAGGGTTTATGGTTCTGGTCTAGAAGGTCACGATCTTTTCCCAAAAGTTGATTTGAGGTTTCAGGTTTGTGAGGAGGTGGTACATTCCCTAGGTATCCAGTCCCGAACACTCAGAGGTGCACAGCGGCTACATCTACGACCGCCTTTGCATCGGCCGTGGCGTGGGGATCGACGGTGTGGATGGGCGCGTAGAGCCGCAGCGGCATACGGTGCACTGCAACCTGGTGTCTATCTGCCGGGAGCCTGGGTCCTATTTGGAAAGGTTTCCCAAAATTAGGGGTACCAATTTTGGGGGTCCCCATAATAAGGACTATAGTATTTTGGGGTCTATATTGGGGTCCCCTTATTTTGGGAAACTACCATTTGGAAAGGTTTTTTTTGGACGGGTAAAGGGTGAGGTGACAGAAATGAAAGACGAGAGTTTTGGATGATGCGATGCTTCAGGGTTGGTTTTGTTTCAGCTGATGCTGGCTGTAGTCTATTTAGCCGAAGCGACCTGGCGACCTACACAGTCGGTTCAGTTTTTCCGCAAATTCTGAGACAGGTTCTATGTGATCATGTGGACGATGAAGGGAGCAAGCCAATCTATTTTTAAACCAGGGGACCAGTGATTTGTGGCCCATGATACGCATGTCGTACAGCAATAGAGGGGAATGATGAATCACCTTTCAGCCTTTTTGATTTTCCGGCCCAATGCATCCGTTTTTTGGCATACGGATAAGCAAGATGCAGCGGTGACCCACTCTGCGAACCTGCCATGCCGACTTTGTGAGGTTTGGGCTCCGGGATTTCGGTTGTGGTCTTGGTTTTGGTTCGTTTCCACCCCTGTTTCCGTCACGTTTTTTCAGTTTCTGTTACGGTCCCCGCTGGTTCCCCTTGCAGGTCCGGAAGACTGGTTCCCGAGACGGCCAAAATGGTTCCCGTTACACCCCGCACCAAGTATCTCACCCACCCACCCATCCCTAAGCCCTACATCGCTCACTGTGCGCCTTAAAGCCAAACCGTACACTTGAGAGCTCCTTGGTTAAACATAGAAGATGCCAGGACTCCGGTTATGGCATTCTCACGAAGCCCAGTGGCTCTAGCCAGTGGTCCTTCGAGGCCAGGGCAAGCAGCAAAAATCAGGGGTAGGTTTGAGATGTGCAACTTTGTATTTTGGCGTTGTTGGTCGGAGCTTGGGGCGCTGAGTCAAGTTCCCAATGCTGCACGGTTCCGACGCAGTGGTGGGCAAGACGATCTTTTGCTCATGGATGCTTTGTGCAAAGGCAGTGAGGGTACTAAACCCCAACCCTAAACCCTAAATTGGCCTTGTTCCCACAGGATCTAAACGGCCCCTCGCGTTCTGTAGCTTCTGGGTGTGGCGTTACTAAAGCGTCGAGGACAGATGTGCAGTGTGGTGGCTTTTCCAAGCAGAGTACTAGCAGGGACCCTCCGGATGGGTGGGATTGTGAGGGGAGTATGGAAGCCGTGCTCGGAAACTCAATAGAAACCCTTGGTCTCATCCGTGGAGAGGGGAATTCATCAGTTTATGTGGAGCAAGCAGTTTCGACAGCTCTGCGGGCCTACAAGGGCAACTCTGCCCTTTTGAGGAAGTTTCTGTGTCTTTAGCTGAGTCACAGTGAGAGCCCGTATGCCACGGACTCCAGGCATCTTCACTTCAGTCATCTTGGAACCCTGAGCCTTCAACAGGGGCCTTTCAGTCCTTCAAAGAACATGTTTTTGAACAGGTCCTCATGTCCGATCGCGGCAATGCAGATGTCATCACCTGGCTTAACACGCAGGAGCCAAGTCTTGGGGATTCTTGCTTGCCCTTGCGCAACATCGACAGTTGGGTTGGTGTTCAGTTTTGCTGAGAATCCCGTGTTTAGCATTTTGTATTCGCACGGGGAATGATGGGTCACAGTAGGCAGAGCTGTTTCCAGGGCGCTGCATCGAGAGATTGAACAAACACTAAGCTGAAATCCTAAAAGCGGATCCCTGTCATGTCTTCCATTGTGGACCGGCAAGTTGGCAATGCTGCACCTGATGCAGGATACGAAGTTTGGGCTGGTTGTGTGGGTCCAGCCTTTCTCCAGGGTTGGGATGCCTTGAAGTTTTTTTCTTGTTATTCAATCTCAACATGTGTCTAGTATGGGCAGCCCTGAAACCGATCTCCGACAGGAATACTGGGGCACAGACGTCCGCGTTGAGATCAGCGGCGACTATGACTCCCAGGTCCTCGGCTTCATTTCTATTTGCACATCCACATGTGGCCTTGCAAGAAGAGGGGTCCCTCTCCCCGAAGGGGTCTACAAGGGATCTGTGCATTTCCGGTTGCTTTGTGATCGCAGGGTAGGACACATCGCAGGACATCATAACATGAGACCCTTGCGAATGTTTTCCAAGGACAATTACACATCAGCGGTTTGTGCGTGTTCCTGCCCAAGCAACCCATTCCGATTTCTGCGATGATTTTGTAGGGTTATGTTTTCTTTCAGCTCATCATGATAACCACCTAAAAAGCCAATTCACTTTCGCTGCAAGTGTCGACGCCCAAGATAGCTGCAAATCTGCAAAATATCTCAGAACCCTTTAGTTGCGGCATGAAGCTCGCAACAGTCAAAAAACAAAAAAGATTTCTGTCTGCAAATCTAGTAATCTAGTACAGCGAAGAAGTCGTTTTGTTTGGCTTGCCAAAGAAATCGCTGTGCACTCATCTTCGACCTATATGTCGTATGGATACCAAATATGGCAAGTGTAACCAAGCCTTTGTTCAGTTGACAACCTTCCACTGAAGCTGGAGTTCTTTTGTTTTGTGGCGTCGAAGAACCCCAATGGAGCCCGCGTGCCCTAAACCTCTCAATGCCTGAAGCCGAAACCCCTTGATCTGGCAGGGACAGTTGCATGTGGATACCATCAAGCGCTTGAACTCTGGCGTCGTTTGGCAAGGCAGCGGCAGTGGAGGCGCTACAACCAGCACAACTACAACGACCCCCAGTACTACCCCAGGCACGTCCACTACAACTACCACAACAACCACAAAAAGAACAACCACCACCACAACTGCTGCTACAACTACCACAACCCCAGGGCCCAGTTCTACTACATCTACTACAACCCCGGACAGCACATCAACAGCTTCAACCTCAACGACAACTCCTGCCCCCACAACAAGTACGACCTCCACTAGCCAGTCAGGCCTCAACCCGCGAATCCTAGAAAGCCTGCTAGACGTTTGTTTGGTGGGTTGCTGTGGCGGATGCTACGGCAGTTTCGCCTTCATGTGTAGTCAGTGCTATTCGCCACGCAAACCACTGAAATGCCCAAACTAGAACAGCGGACCAGAGGGATTAAATCTGAGGAAAATAGGGATGGGAGCCCAGGACCCTTATTAAATGTATTCCCACTACAACACCCTGTGCCATGCTTGCCACCCCCAGGCCCTGCAGCCACCACAACAACTACAACCCCGGACAGCGCATCAACAACTTCAGCCTCAACGACAACTCCTGCCCCCACAACAAGTACGACATCCACAGCCCGTAGTCAGCCAGGCCTCAACCATGAATAATACAGAGCTTACTAGTAGCACGAATTGGGGGTTGATATTGCCATCCGTGTTCCTGCTACCTGAGCCACCATCGTTTCATGCAATTTCATGCATTTCACTACCATATAGTGAGTTTTATCCAGATCGTGGTATGGCACCATGGTGTTTTCGTTCTCACGGTTTCGGTTGTGTTTTCTTTCATGTAACAAGATCTCGAAAATGGATCCTCAAGCCCTGGAATGCAGAAGGCCGTGGACTTGGGGAAGATTACTACTCTAATTATGGATATTTAGCACCTTCGCTAGACTTCATTTATGAAGGTCCGAAAGTCTAAAGCCATGCCCCAAAAAATGACAGCTATCCCTTCGCCTCAATGATCAAACATCATACAGAGTACGTCTGGCCAACCACGGATCCTCCCTTCCTCCATCCATTTTGGTGATAGTGGTGGTAGTACAGCAGCAGTGGCAACAATTGTGGTTGGGGTGGCGGTAGTAGTTGTAGTCAGTACATGCTGAAAATAAATACGGGCGGGGAAAAAGTACAACACATGTTTGCGTAAGTGCTTGACAACTTGTTGTTGCCACAGGGAGATGGTACCCAAATCATTGTTACCATCAGACCGAAAATTTGCATGTACTCCAAGTCCTGAGCCCTAAGAGCATCTTCCAATCGTGGCATTTCTGTAAGCAGTGGACCACCCTTGTGATACTCGCCTCCAGAATGCAACCCCTTTTTAAAGAACCTTCACACCCAAAAAAAGAGCATTTAAGAAAGCCCCTGCGCAGTTGCAGGCCCTACGGTTGGCCCCACCACCTCAGCTGCCGGCGAAACAAAGCTGGCGCTTACATCACTCTTACTCTCCTCGGCGCTCCTCTTCCTGGGCTAAGCCTTTTGAGGTCTAAATAGGGAGCATGTTATGTGGAATTGCTGCGGGGAGTTTCTAGGGATTAGGTTTGCACGTTATAGTCAGATAGCCGAGAAAGCACCCTCTAGGGATTCTCTCGTGGTGCTGCATCAGACACTGTGCGAATTGTAGAGGTAAGGGGTCATTCTCCCCAGGCTTGAAGACTGCAGCATACAACAGACAGTAAATTGGCTAACAGAATTTTCATGACTTGAGGACGTCAAAAGGAGTACTCTGCAAGAGTACTAGCACAGCTACGACGACTGCCGACACCCCCGCCAGTACAGCGTTACAGATGTTCAGACCGTGGTTGCTTAGCAGCCTAGTGTCTTCTTTTAGAGATGTGGGTCGGTGGTGACTTTGGCAGACAATGAAATTTAGGTTATCTAGGTTGGATGGCAGAAGCTTTCCTCATTCCACAATGATGGTTCTTTTTTTTCTGGGGTTCTTGACCAAACTTGGCAGGAAGTCCGCAGTTCTTGCAGTACTTGCCTTGCCCTGTACCTTCTACCCTCAGCTCCTACACAGTTGAGCCCAGAAGCTTCAACAGAATCTAGAGTCCAACTCTGCGCGTTGAAAGCTTGGGTTTCAAGTCTTCCTTTGGCCAGAGCTCTAGGCTTAAGATTTGTTTGTCGTGAGAGCTAGTCTAAATCTCTGGCAGGGATCCTTGTTACTCTCTATGAGCTCAGGATCCTTTATTTGCAAGTGAGTCAGGGGGTTTTGGGGTCTTTGGTGAGCGTAGGTAGGGTTTTTTGGGAATATTGGTAAGTATACGTGGGGTGTCCATGTGGTGGGATCACTCCCACCTCAGGCGGAGCCCAAGAGGCGTGCTGCACAGCCTTGTTTTACCGGATCTTGGGGTTTGGAATTGACATCCCTGCGTATCAAATACTATGTCCGAAGCCTTGAGCCCCACGCGCAGGGTATTGAACATGCGTTGACAGTTCAGGGGAAAGCCACTAGGTTTTTGTTCCTCATGCTCTGAGAGGAGAGGCCGTCATGGGGGTATTTAGGGCTTCGCATGCGTGCATATCAAATACCACTACTTCTGTATTTTTTTCCTTTGTGGTAATGTTCGACGCAACGACACGCAACCATGTTCAGGGGGTTCAGGGCTTACATGTCAGTGTTTCTGGGCATCAGAGCTCCGAACTGTTGAGGTCAGATGTTGATTTTGGGATTTGAAGCTCAGATCTTCAATGCCCCGTAGGTTCAGTGCGTGTGGACGCCCATTTGGGGTTCTGCAGATCAGCCACGCAAGTTTTCTGTCATGCTTGCGCATAAGAGCTGTAGAAGATGGCCCCAGAGGGGGTCTGTTCTCGCGGGGCTCCGCAACCAAACCCCATGGTCTGTCTGAACCTTCGCTGGCGAGCCCACGTATTGTTAAGCTGCAAACGGGGCAAAGTAGCATCATTCATTATCTTACCGTCGCAGCTACCCCGTTTGCAAATGCGGGACCCGCTAGTGCTGCATATTTGGGATCCATGTGTTCAAGCGGCTAGCTTGACACATTGAGGACGGTATTCTAAATCCTTGGACAGGGAGTTTAATTAAAAGCGAAACACGAAATCCCCTCTAGAATCCTTGGCTAGAAGTACAAGAAATTGCTTCAAAAGGCTTTACTTGGTTCTGAAGAGAGATCCCCTTCATTCCCGTGCAATCCCTATGCATCCTGAGGATCAATCAGGCAATCCTGTCCTAAGACAACAACTGAAAAGGACTGGAGACGCACTGCTCTGACACTCATCGCATCCTCCAGCCACTATAGCTTGACACTTGCAGCTGCACGCAGAGTCCTGGACCCGAAGCCCTCCTCACTCGGGTCCCTCCTATGCTTTGCTGCGGCTGCATCGCCATCAGTGCGATTGCTGAGCCCAGACCCTCGGCGCGACCGACGAAAATGAAAGCAACATCATCGCCAGGGTTGAAGTGCAGGAGTTGGAGGGTTCAGGGTTGGCCGAGTTGGCCGCCCGCCCTGCTCTTGCTTAAAGGTCCATGAACATTCCAAACCCTACAGCAACTCCCGAATGTTTAAGGCTGACCTCCGAACCTCATCCTCTCAAGGAGCCCTAAACCTTTGTCTCCCAAAGCCATGACATCTGCCGCAGGTAGTTCCCCTGACCCTGCAGTGGAATGAGCGCATTGTGATCGTGGAGCAGGCGGCGCAGTCTCAGCGCAAACTTCCTAAAGCCCAAAACCCATCCACTCAGCCGTCAGTCCAGCTCGGAGCCTTCAACCAGTTGCTTATCCCAAGTTCCATCCCCTGAGCCCCAAATCCACGGAAAGTGCCCAGTTGAGTAGGCGCGCCGGGACGCTCACCTGGGTAATTCCATCAGTTTTTATCTTTCGTGCCTGGGACAGCGTTAGCTTGGGGCTTGAAGCCTTGGATGTGTGTTTCAGGGTCAGAGTCTTCTCAATGCCTATACGCTTACGCAAGATTTCAGTCGCATTCAGTCGCGCAGAAGCCTCATCCGAGTCATCTAGCAATCTAGCGCCTTATGTACATGTGGATCAAACTGGCGATGCATCCCAATATTCACTAGCACATGTTTCCTCTACAACTGTGAACATGCTCTTGCTTATCTACAGCTTGTTGGTGTACGCCGTGCGAAATGCACACCCTCACTAGAAGCTCCATCAGTGTAGCTTCACTGCTACAGCCCAACATCCCCCAATCTTGTAACGGTAAAAAAGCTGAAAAAGCATTCGAAGTTTCTTCAGATTCCTGTGCAGAGTTAACTGCAGGGGATTTTGCATACACCTGTACCAGCACCCTTTGATCCCGCTACACCCGGGTACGTGTGCTTGTGCTCCAAAATTCCGTTATACATCCCAAGATAATCTGTACTATACCCTTAACCCAGCCTTAAACTCCCAACCCCAAACCCTAAATCCTGAAACCTTACACCCCAGACCCAACGGACCCTGAACCCCAAATCCTAAACCCTAAGCCGAAAACCCCAAACCCCTAAATCCAAGCATCCCGAATCTATTTTCTTAAGGTCCGGCAACATCTATCGCCTCTCGGGCCTTGAGTCCACGCGCTCCAGGCGTTTCGTGGCCCCTGCAGGGCGCCAGGCCACCTTGCACTTCGAAAAGGTCTCAGTTCATGGCTTTGCCTGGACTGTTGGGGGGCTTACGATTTGGACTTCAGGCTACGAGCCGAATTACAGGCTTAGGGCTTAGGGCTTGGGTCTAGGCGTTTAGGGTGTAGGGCTCGGTGCTTAGGAATTCGGACGTTGATGTATCTTAGGAGTTGGTTGCTGCTACCAGTTCTAACAATCCAGAACAAGCTTTTGTAGCCTACCCCAGCTGCAAATAGTTTTGTAGCGCCAGTCATAGGTGGGCAACGGGTCCGGTGAACCTCCTAGGCTTGGACACCGAGCTGGGGCTTTGATTGTGTTGTTGGGTCTGTATTCTGCCGGAAATCTGTTGTCTCCGTGTTTGGCATTGCGGCCTTGTTCTACGAAGTTTTTTCATTGTGGGCACCTGTCCTGACTGGTTTGACAGAACTGCACTGCGGAGTGCTCAATGCAATCTACGACTTATCACAAGTTTCGGGATCAAGCTTGTAGCTCCTTTTGGAGCGCTTTTAAGAGGATAGAGGTCAACTTCATGGCATATTGTGGAAAGCGTGTGCGACCTTCTCTGGGCATTTGGCATCCGAAGGTGTGTGGCTTGGACTTCGACGCGGGGGGCATGCTCTCACGCGTCAGCAGCTTGTCCTGAAGTTTGCACTGAAAATCGACACAGTTTGAGCAAATTTTCACGCGTTTCCATGCATGGATTAAAGTGAGGCTTTTGGGGTGAGGACGCAGATGACATTGGCTAGAAGAACTCGTGCTATTTTCCACTATCATTATCAATCTGCATTCTCTTAAAAGTCTTCCATCGTGATGATTCGCAGTGCCCATCAATGCTTTTGTAGCAGCTGCTGTGATCATCACTTATGTTCTGACATCCTTGATTGGCAATTAGGGGTTTCTAGAAGTGTGCCTTGGGCACGGCCGCTGACTTGCTGGACCTGCTCCGGAGCAGCAAACAACTACTAACTATAACTTATAACTTATAACTACTTGCATCGGAGTCTGTACAACGAGTGCATTCCCATCTTGTGATCCGTTTGTCGGGAATGTTGGGTTTAGGGTCTAGGCTTCAGGGAATACCCTTGTGAGGATTGCTGGGATTGCCAGGATTGATTCAGCAGTTGTAAAGCGCCAAAGGTACCTGCCCTCGGAGCCTTTGCTGCCCAACGGCTTCAGAGATGGAGTTCCACATGGCGACTCAGCTCTTTCTACTAGCTGCGACATCAAAGATTGTCACCAGGGTTTCAGACTTTAGGATTGTGTTGTCAGTCAGGCGAGGAGACTGGTGGCCACTTTGGCCTTTTTTGAACGCCCTCAAAGTGAGAAGTGGCGTCGTTGCAGTGATGCCCTGGTCTCAAGTTTTGGGTCCTGCGATAGCTGGGCTAGTCTGCAGGAAAACAGCATTGATTTGGCAAAGGCTCTTTTCCTGAAGCCAGCAGGGGCCACATGTGAAGACCTTGAGATTGAAGGGAGTTTGCACGAGGCCTCCAGGCAGAGAATCCCCTCAAGGAATATTCCTTTCAACGACATGTTTTGCCTCCAACTACATGTGATCTTGCTTGAAGCTTTGTTTGCGCGCCAGTAACGGAACCATAGGGAACCTGGCTAGTCTGCAATATGAGAAGACACTTAGACGGGCAGCTGCTTGTTACTTTATTTTTGTTCTGGCACGAGGGAAAAGGACCATGGGGATTGTCAGACTTGATAAGGCTGGGACTACAACGCAAATTCACCTCGACATTCTTTCTAAGCCAGGCACTGGAGTTGCTCCCCTTCGTATTGCCTCTCATCTGAGGTGAAGGACTGAGTCTTGCACCTTCCACAGGGAAGAACGCATCCTTGGTGCTTGAAACTTGAGATGTGGCTTTAGGGTCTTGTGTCAACGGGTTTCGGCCTTATTGGTGTCTAGCTGGAGCTTCGTCCTGCGGAAAGTTCAGGTAGGTTCGTGCTGATGAGAATGCCCAGTTTTTGTTGGAATTTGGGCTTTCGGTACTAGGCTCAGGTGTCATGGCATAGGTTTCATGGTTTAGGCCCAGAGGTGTTTTCCTGAAAATTAGTGTCTCAGCTCTAGAGTTTTTGGATGTATTCTATTGTCATGCTCCTGTGATGGCATAGTGCATCAAGATGTGATCACTCCACATACTTGGTCTTTCGCCTGGGTTCGAGCGGGGTGATGTTTAAAGACATTTGAAACACGATCCTTAAAGACAGCTTCCAGTTAGGTGTGTATTGTTTAGTGATGGGTGTGAAGGTTTTTTGTGGTGCATACATTGCCGCCCCAGATACACACGGAACGCCCGCAATTACTGCTGTCATTAAAACGGGGCATGCTAGGGGTTCCATGTGAGAGAGTCTCAATCTCGGATTTGATTGTACGTTTTTCGGATGCATCACGCAACAGCTTGCGGATTTGGCTAAAATTTCGAGACCGAGGATGCATGACATCCCACCTGAACCTAGCACCTCTCAATCCCGAAGCCGCCCTAAGCCCCACCTGCACCCCGTCCCTCTTACCTTAGCAAAGGGCCGGTCTCAAAAGAGACTCCAGCCCGGCCGTCGGAGCCACGTGTGTCAGCAGAAAAAAGTTGTTTCGACTTCTTTGAAGCGTGAAGCGACTGTTTACAGTTTCGGGATGTGTGGGTGTTAGCATTTTGGCTTTCAAGCTTTAGTGCCTGGGCAGGGCATTTACGGTTAGTTCTTTAGGGTTTGCTGTCTGTGATGGCTGAGTGCTTCTGTTGGGGTCTGCCCAGCTATTGTCCTGTCGGAGCCATGTAGCCTGTAAAGCTCGAATTTTTTTGGGGGGTTTTACGCAGGATTGATGAGAAAGACTCCACACCCTCGGCCCCACACTTCTAAGCCGTAATGAAAACCCGGGAAGCCCTTGTAAGACCTGCTTCACGGGGGAAGTCGCTATGATTCTGATTCAAAGAGGAACTCGTGGATAAATCCAGGGAGGTTTGGAGGTTTTTCAAGCGGCGGTCTCCAAATTCCTTCTTATCATGGTATCAAGGTTTACTTTTGCAAAAGGTATAGTATAGCAGTTCCAGTGAGTGGCAACCTCTTGGGAAAAGATTCAGCGGGAAGGCATGGCTAGGGCGTGTGAGATCGCCGTTCACCCTCTGACTACCGCGACTACCGCAAGCGTCTTAAAGTCGAGTCCACGTGCGGAAGCGTCACAATTCTCAGCATATATGACGACATCCTGATTGCCACGTTCTAAAGTTGTAGCCGCGAGCTGCCAAGCCCCAAGTCAAAATCCCTCAGCCGCACAGAGAGGGCTTGAGCGCAGATGCTAGAACAGGTGCTCAGGAGAGTATCGTTGCAGTCTCATGACAATTTCTTCAGAGTCCAGCTTAAAACCTCACAGCCCAGACAGTCAGGAGCCTTTTCACCGAGTAGGAAGTTAGGTTCCTTCGTAGACGTCGCCATGTGGGCACCGGCGCAGGCAGAATGTCAGAGGGTAGCATCATGCCAACAACCAGGGGTCTGTTGCGTCCTCTGAGGATTCGGGGCGGCTTCGAGTAGCTTTCGGCCGCAATTTTTGTTAGGAGTTGTTTGGCCTCAGGGTCAGAGCTTGCCATTGCTGAGCAGTTTTCTGGCGAACACATGAGCCACGTTCGGAAATTTTCAGACTTCAGGACACCAAGCTTTCACAGCTGCCACAGCTGTAGCCACAAACTCTTAGCTTCAAGTGCAATGGCTTCTTCCAAATGCATGCGAATTGTCTGCTGTTTGCCTTATCCCTTAGATCCAAGCAGGCTGAACCTTGAACACAAAGCGCCAGCTCCCTAAGCTCAGGGGTCCGGAGTTCTTTCTGCACAGGCCTCCTCAGCAGCGCCTAGCACGGCGGTTGGTAGCTCAAATTTGAGATTTGCATTTCAAGGCAACGGTGTGCTGTGCCTTTGAGCCGAACATTCTTGCAAGAGTCAGGAGGAACAGTCATTCCGGTTTGCCTGTTCTTTAAGGATAGCGTTTACTTGGGCTGTGCAAGGTTGGGGCTTCAGTGCGGCAATAAGTCGAGCCATGGAATTGAGTTTGAGACAGTATGCGATTGTGCCTTTTCACTAAACTGTCTTTTAGGCAAAAGTCTTGCTACTTGAATGCCGTGTCAGCGGGACGGTGGGCATTGAGAATGTATATGGCTCTGCGCGTGATCAGGCTGTCCCAGTCAAAGGTGACTTCGAGCGTTAAGGCAAAGTGTTGGATGTTTCAGGGATATCTCCAGCCTCGGTTTTGAACCTGAGGATGGATCTTGTGTAGAAGGTCTAGAGATTGAGTTGTTTCATTTGCTACGGCCTTTTAGCAGTTGCGTCCCAGCGCCTTCACAGTGAATTTCCTTCAGGTGTCACGGCCTTGAATTGCAATTCCGGTCCATCTTGCCTCATCGCTGGGGTGGAGGAAGCATAGTTTCTTGCTCAAGCTTCGCAATCCTTCCCTCTTCCCTCACCTGGGGCCATGGCGACTGTGACAACAACCACCACTGAGACTGAGACTTCGTCGGACCTGAGCTCCCAGGTCAGCCAGGGAAAGGAGGTCTCTCGCTGCAGCTGGGCTGGGTTCATGGCAGGTGAAGAAGTACGTAGGTGAAGAAATAGATTGTGATTTTAGCGGTAGGGGGTGTATGTAGTAGTGTGGAAAACACTATGCAGGCGTGGTACGCTTCTACAGGACTGTAGAAGCCTTTACAGTTGTGTTTGTGATAAAGACAGAGACCTTGCAGAGGGACATGTCACCTTCCTTAGTGTTGAGGAAAACGAGCTGAACAAGGAGTAGGTCCTTTAAAAGGCAAAGCCGACAGGATCGCATCAACATAGACCCAGCTCACCCTTTCAACACAGGGCTGCTAATCAAATACATTGGTTGTAACCGGCTTGGGCAGCCATTCCGGTACAGAAGCTTCTAACAGAATTGCCCAGCTTGCCACAACATCCCTCTTCAACAAAGCTTTCTTGGTGAAGCTTACCTCTACAAAGGGGTATGTAACAGGAGGGGCCAACAACAGAACGGGGTCTTGTTTTTGTGGATATCATGGTCCCCAACCACCAAGAAAGCACCATTCGTTGCGCTTCTTGGGCTCAATCGGGGAGGACAGCAGCCCAGGTACAGATGCGTTGCCTCTTGATGATAAGGAGAGAATGCCTCCTACTATGTCCCTGGTGCTGTTGCCTTATTGCACATTAGTAAACCGTTTAGATGCATGTTTTTCTCTTTGGCACGCGCAACTAGCGTAGTCTTTTTTGGGCTTGGGCCGCTGACGGTTCGGGCTCCTTCTGTGACTAATTGCTGTCCCCAGGATCCACTACTTCCTGGTACTTACAACCGTTAACCTGGTAATCGCCATTCCCACGGCCAACGACTACGCTGAGAGGCCTTCGACTTTTGACGCAGTCCGCAAGTGATTAGTTCTTTTGGTGCGGATAATTGCTTTCCAGAGACTATATTCAGGGGGTTTTTATTATGAAGCCCGCCTTAGTCATACGAGCTGCTAACTAAGCCATTGAAACCAACAGCGTTTCTTAGTTGGGTGTATGCTGTGAGGCGGTGTGTACGTTGGCGGATCAGAGTGCAAGACGAGAAGTGTTTATTAATGAGCGCTAGAGCCAAACTTTTGGCCTCACTGCACTCCATGATGCTTCCCTCCTACTACTACTACTACTACTACTACTATTGCTACTGTCACCAATTTTGCCAGTAGTACTATTATGGCTATTGCTACTACTATTGCTGTACTAATGTGCATGCCTTGAACTGCGACCTGGTAAGGAGCTGCAGCACTAGCGATGCTTCTGACATGCACCGTTGTTTAAGATGCCCCTGCAGGGTCTCAGACATGAGAGCAAAACATTAAACTCCAAACCGAAAACTGGAAGGAATCCTTCAGCTTCACCTGAAGTCCTAAAGCTGAACCCTAAGACACAAAGATGTGCCTGAAGTCTTAAAACTCAGCCCTGAGCCCAACAGCAAGAAACTCAAACCTTACCACCAGACCCCAGCTACACTTTCCGATGCAGAATCATGTGGGATTCTGCTGCATACGGCTCAATCATTGATAGGCAGCTGCAGTTAAAAGGTCCAAAGTGCACCCTGCAAACGCATGATACATTGAACCCTGAATCCTAAACTGCCCTGGACTGTAAAGCAACGATCCCTTAATGGGGCAGGTTGGGTGCGGGGCGCCTGTTTGCGGGCGTCATGCTGGGCGCTCTTCCCCTGGTAGCCATTGCAGGCACATGTTCAAGCAGCAGCTTTGGGGTTTTTGTGTTTGATTTTTGTGTCCAAGGTGGTTTGGAGGTTGGGAGATTTGTGATTTAGGGTTACGGTTGGGGTGGTTTGGGGCTTACGGATCTGGAGTTTGTGGTGCAACTGCAGTTTGGAGATAAGGTCTTTGGGTAGGTGACCTCATGGTTCCAGGTAACGTGTTCAACCAGAAGCTCTTCGCCTGTCTCTTGGCCGACCGTGGGAAATGTTGCGGTTTTCTGCATTCATGGCCTTGGCCACGCCGCAGGCTCTTTGTTACAGTCTCAAGGCCTGGGCAACTCATGCGCTGTGTGGCGTTATGCTACAACCCATGCAAAATAAAATGTGAATTGTCCGGGTCCATACACTGAACGCGTAGCTTGCGTTGTGTGATATGGAGACTCGTCAAGATGATTAGTAGATTGAGGAATGGTAAGGTTACGTAGGGGCAACAACAGCATTGTAGGGCGTGATCCTCAAATTCTGTGGCACATTTAGGCTTCTTACTCTACAACAGGGGCTCGGAAGCAGCCACCTCCTTTCAAGCACTGAATTTAAATAAGTTCTACTTCGCAATCTCTTCAGTGTTTCCTCACTCGCAAGCTCGTGACCGAATCGGTCCAACACTCAAGAACTCGTTGCTCACTTTGATATCGGGGTTTAAAACAACGTGAATTCTAAACTCGCAAGCGGCGCAAAAGGGCCAATGCAGGAAATGGATAAGAGCAACGCCCCGTTCTTACCGTGGTGAAGCAATTTTGATACAACCGAATGTCCTTCCCACCCAGAAGAGCCTCCTGATTCAACATGCTCGTCTATTCAGCAGAATGACCTTGCCGTATCTCACCAAATATGGTAAGCGCCTGAACGGGAAAAAGCCAGGGCGTTAGGGTTGGTGTTTGGGCAGATTGCTGTGACTTCTGTCACAAATTGGCGGTACCGTTGTGCCACCATTCTGTAGTAACAGCTCCTCAAGGTCCAAAGATCCGCATGTTTTGACCTTCCAGGCGCCCAACGTTACGACTATCATATTTTGAAACCCTTCGAGGGCCTAGTGTGCGCATCAGCTCGAAAGAGTATCGTCCGTGTCTTCATCGCTTGATGTTTAAACCTCCACTTCACTACAATATCGCTATATATCGCGGGAATGCTTTTTCTTTTGGAAGTGTTACTTTTGTTTTAGGCTGCCTTAGAAGGAGGGATTGCATCAAGCAAGGCTTGACCTTCAAGCAAATCTGGACTTTGTGCTGCCTCGTCACAGTGCTGGGCTCGGTGTTGCTGGGCGTCTGTTTCAGACGTCTTTTCCTGCTTCCACCTGAAGTATAATCCAATGCCCAAAAGTTCACGCTTATCATGCGTACTCAGACCCGACCAGACAGGAAGAACGTTTCCCAGCTTGAGTCGCAATTGCCCTGCCAGGCTCTATGCCCTCGCCGGCCTGATGCGATTCAAGTGGACGCTCCTCATTTCGAGAAGTCTGATGGGATTCTGCTGCGCTTTCAGCCTCCCGGGAATCTATGCCTCCTGACTTCTGTCCAGCAAATGAAGGTACGAAAGTGAAAGGAAGCCGATGATGACACTAAGTAATAAGTACGAGGATTTCGAGATTCAGCGTGCGGTGCTCCTTCGATGCAAGCTCTGGGCTATCGGGCGCCTGTACGAAATTCAAATCCTCGTCAAACCTTGCCAAGCCTTGGGAACAGCCAAGCCAGCAAGACGATTTGAGTTTCCAGCACCCCGACCCAGTTCACAGTTTGCAGGCTATGGGCTGATACACGGAGCCCAGAACATAAGTATTTCTGATGCGCGGACGCTTCTTCGAGTCTGGCTCAAGGGCCCTCATCAAGCTTCACAAAAACCAGATTTCAAGCCCCCCAATTCAAGCCATACTACTCTCATTCCCAAACGGCTTTGATAGTAGACTTCACATCACAGCTAAACTTTGCATCCACAAGCCTGAACATCTGTGATAACCCAGACCCCTGATTAATACACCCCCTCCCCTTCATAGGGACTATAATGGGGATCCTATTTAGGCCCTTAAAAGGAAGGGGTTTGCTAAACATGGGTCTGCATTATTCAGGTCTCCCATACAGTGGGCATGAAGCGCCGAAGTGAGATTCTTTTTTACTTCTCGGCTTGCTTGACGCTGGGCCACCTGGCTTTCAAGGGAAGTGCAGGATTGAGAGATTCTCAGCATAATCAGCCTACAATCGCTGACAAGCACCATCTATATTCCTTTCATAATTCCCATGGAGCACCCAGAGCTTCAAGATCAGCAGAGAGTTTTTACAGTTTCTCGGGATCGCAGCTCTCCTTTCTCTTTCCTTAGGCTGTGGAGCTAATTTGGAAAGCAAAGGCTCATCAGTCTTCTTCGCTGCTGATTTAGCAGGATACCCGCTGAGACCGTCAACAAAAACTATGACTGGGCATCATACCAATGTGTGGGGATTTCTGATATGTTGGTCAATGTCTGCAGGCTGTTTCCGCTCTTCCATTGTTTCTTCTTGTTTGTTACAAGCGTGTTCTTATACTGGGAGTCTTTGAACATAACCTGCTTTTTAACTTTACTTCTGGCCCCTGCTGACCTTCCTCCAATATCCACATGTTTGCGCGGAAGCCAAGTCTAGCAATCTTTGCTTAGGCTGTGCAGTTGGGCCCGCTCTTGCCGCGATGTTGGAGGAATCCATGACGCTTCGATGAATCCCTGAGTTTTTTCTCAAGACCAAACAACCTGACTCTAGAACTCTGAACGGACTGAAGGGTGGCTTTTCAGTGCGTCCTTGTCTGAAGTCTGGAAAAGTCCTCCACTTCCAAAGATGCAGGCGCTGGAGTTTCTGGCCCAAGGGCATGATTTTTCAATGCTGTATGATGTTGAAAACGACAAGTGAGCTCTCCGTTGAGGAAGTACATCAAAATCAACAATCTAGTGCTGGACTCGGACACAGTCCCTGGCTGGTTCATGGCTGTTCTCTACCTGCTGTTCACTGCGACGCGGACTTGCAAATGATTTTTGCTTTCATGTTGCCCTAGGTGCACAACGTGCAGCCCGAGCCCTATATACATCAAAACCCCAACCCCTGAACCCTGGCCGAGTCCTAAAGCTTGAAAACGCCACAAGCCCCAGACTCCTGAAGGCCGAAAAAAGCCTTAAGTTCTGATATTTGCTAGGATTCAGAGTTTGCATTCAGCATCAGGCAAAGCTGGTGGTTTTCTTCAAGGACCTTCCCAGGGACGCCTTGGCTGCTGCGCCGGAGGGCCGCACTTTAAGGAGTGGCGGAAACCGCTCAATCCTTTCAGTCCCCGGCTCGTAGACAGAGTTAGGATGGGAGGACGGTTGAGTTGGGTTTCGGGTTTAGGGGTGCTCTTGCCGTACGTCTGGGATGTTTTGGGGTTCTTGAGGCTTGAAGTTGGCGTCTCTGGTTTACTTCAGGCGGTAGCCTTTGCATCCTAACGCCGCAGCCCTTCCTCAGCACCGCACCCCACACGTCAAACTCACCAAAAGCTGCGAAGGGCCTCCTGGAAGGTAACAAACCACCATCCTGAAGCCACGCCCAGAGGAGCCCGAAAAGCGCTGGCATGGGGCTGAGCCTCGAGAACTGACTGCACTTTAGGCTGACAACGCTAAGGATCTATTTCGGACATCTTAAGTATTAGGTCAGGGTTGTCTGATATTGGAAACCACCCCTCAGCTCTTCGACCCTAGCTGCCTTCACTGAGGAGAAAGGCGCAGCTGCCTGCGCATGCTTCTGGCAGCTCATGGTCGCAAGCGCTGTGACCACAGGCCTGGAAAGCGAGAAGATGGGTTATGGTTTCAGGCTTCAGAGGTGGAGTTGTGGGCTTGGTGTTAAAGGATTTTCAGTTACAGGCTCAGGTGATCAGAGTCTTCGGGAAGAGGCCTTGTTCAAGGAATTTGCATAAGAGGCTTGCGTGGTTTGCGCTTGGATGGGTTTACCAGATTATGCGGTGTATCACGCGGATTGTTTTCCGAATTGTTGAGGTTGCGACCCCAGGGCTTAGGGAATGGTTGCTCCATGGCTCCCTGACATTCATCGTCCTCTGGCTTGTGCTGGAGGGGTCCCCAAGGAGAGTACACAAATATGTATAGAATGCATTTCCAGGAGCTACAGGTTAAAGGCATTGCTATTTATAGCCAGGCACGTCTCGGGATAGGAGTCACCATGGTTGCGAGCTCTTTGAGAGGTTCTTCGGGATCTCGGGCTTGATGGGGTTAAAGGTCTGGCCTTTAGGCCGCCGAAGTTTGCGCGGTTGAAAGGTTTTAGCAGTTCAGTTGTAGTGCTTTCAGGGACTGATGGATTGAGAGTGGGCTGAAGTTTTCTGCAGCAAGGTTTTGGAGGTTGAGGGTTGAACAAGTCGGTTCATTTTTGGCGGTCTGAAGTTGAGATTCGTTGTGATGGGAGATGCTACATAGGGTTCTACGCTGCGATCTCTTGCATATGAGGCCCCAATATACCTCCACAGCGTTTTAAGATTCCCAACACCCTCCCTGCCAGGGTGCTAGATAATTTCACACATTCACGAAAGACCAAATCTGTTTTTGCTGGCTTGAAGCCTCTCAAGCTTACGACCTCTGATTCCCAAGCTCAAGCCTTATAAAACAAGGTAAGGCTCAGATGCCTTCTGAGGCGCTCAAAGGCTCAAAGCTGCTTTTCGAGCTTAACAGGTTCCTACACATACGCAAAGGATGTTCTAGCCCGTTAAGTGCCCGAGTTTTCCGATTGCCCCAATCCTGAAGGAACAGTTGAAATCACTTTAAGCATTGCTTCAGGAACAGAATCTACCGTCAACCACGAAGTTAAAGACAAAGGCCAACAGCACGCTAAGAGCAAGCATTTTAGAAGCTCAAGAAAGGAGCGGCTTTTGAGTCATGTCTGGGGAGCGCCGTACTGGAATTACGTGAGGTCTATATGTGAAAGCTATTCAGGCTTCCGTTTATGTGGTAGGCCTCAACCTTCTACACCCTAGATTGCTAAAGCTTTGCAGAAAATATTTACCTGGGTTATCTTCGTCTCCTAAACCTAACCCCTAAGCCTTAAACCCCAAGCCTCAAGCCTCAAACCTAAACCCTAAGCCCTAAACCCTTAACCCTCGGAGCTCTTAGGGCCGTGTCGTAAGACATTTCCTTGGATCGTTCGAGCTGTGGAGAAAAGGTCCCGCAAAAAAAAACAAAAAAACCTTTAACCCTTAACCCTAAACCCCAAGCCCTAAACCCTCCAACTTTTTAAGTCTCTGCATGGAGCGTCCAGGCGTAGAGGTCTACACCATCAATGTGACACGGCAGACCCTTGGGTGGTCCACCGCCAACGCCGTAGCCAAGCTTGAAAGAAACATGTAGGCTTCAGGGTTTCAGTTTTAGGGCTTAGGGATTAGGATTTGGTTTAGGGCTTAGTGTTTAAAGGTGTAGGTCTGAGGGTTTAGGGTTTTGGGCCTGCGGCGAAGGATTTTTGGGTTAAGGGCTGAGGGATCAAGAGGGTCTAGGTTTTAGGCTCCAGGATTTGTAGCCGTTTTCTCGGAGCTTCTTCGGCAGCTTTAATAACACCCAACACAAGGACCCTACAACAGTCATATGATTCTTGCAGAGTCCCCTTAGGGGGCGGGGCTGGGAGAACAATTACACGCACAGAAGCCTCAAAAGGGGGCCTGCATGGACTGACGAGGTCATCTCTTTTGGTTCTTTGCTAGCATGGAGGAGGATTGACAAGTTCCTCTGTAGTGTTTAATCCCCTAGTGTAAAACCCTCCCACCAGCCCTAACATTAAAAGATCCAATTGTGGTATATTATGATATATCCGGGGAGGGGATTATGGGGCTCAGACAGGGCTTATGACGCTCCAGAGAGAGATTGGCAGGATTTTGCATGTTAGTCTTCCGCAACGTAGGGTGCAGGGTCTCAAGGCCTAGGGTTTGGCTTTTTTTGGGGTTTCAGCATTCCAGGTCCCGAACTGTCAACCTACCACAGGTAATTCATTTGCTTTTGGCCTATAAGTTTTGATAACCTGCCAAAGCCGCAGCAATGAACGCCTAGGCTTGGTTTGTGGCTTTGATCATGCTGATCTCCGGAGTCGCAAACCTCAGCCTTGGTAAGGTCGTGCCTCGGTGATAGCTTAGTTTTCTTTTTTGGGGGGGAGGGGTGGGGGATCTATGGCTGAGGGCTTTAGGGTCGAGGGTTGGCTTTTGGGGTTCATTAACTTTGAGTGTTCAATTTCACCGGGCTTGGTGCTGCTCCTAGGCTGATTTCCGAGCAACCTCTTAGAGTTTCAGGATACTTTGGTTCCAGTTACACATTCTGCGAAGTGCAACCTGACTCATGCTTGACCTTGGCTTCTACTTGCCCTGGAAACGAAGTAGGCTGGCTGATGTGATTGAAAGTGAGAACGACGCTGAGGACCCTGCATGACCTGATGATACAGAACTCCCACGATTCCCAATGTTTAGGGTATCTAGGGTAAAGCAGAATCTTTCGTATCAACAGTAAGACTGTAATGCCAACCTTTTCGAGATCATAAGGTTAAACGCAGGATTAAAAATGATTCCTGTTGAATCCAGGTGCGGGTCATGGCCTGCACGGACATGATGGGACTACTCCTGGGAGACATCATCGCATGCTTCTCCTGCCTCTTCTTGTTCAACTTTGACCTGAACTCGCCATCCCTGCTACTCAGCTTGATTTTTTTGACATACTTTTTGGGAGGTGTCCTTATCTTGATTGTTCAGATGTAGAACCCTGCCCACACGTGGATGCCTTGGCTCCAGTGTGAGGACGCGGAACCGCTTTCTGAAGATGTCTCTGACTGAAAGAACTATGTATGCCTAGGAGAAGACGGTAAGCCAAACTGCTCACCCTCAATCCCAAGCCTTCGCTGGAACCCCCTAAATCCTGCTAATGTGAAGCCCACATCCAAGCTCCCAACCCCTCAGCCCCCAAGAACCAAGAGCCCCAAAAGCCCTCAGACCCAAAGCTCTCAAGGCAAGTGTCACTGCTATGCGTTGGCCTGGTGTCGGTCCTTGTCACCCAGGGCCTCACCCGCGCCCTGGCCCTGAGCATCTGTTCCAAGCTGGTGCCCACGGAATCTATCAATGCCACTCACCTAACGTGAAAGCTTTTTTCAATTCCGAAGTACCAAGTTCATATCCTTACATAAGGTTTACATGAAGCGTATATGGGGTGACTAGGAGCTGTTTGGGGCTAGGAGAGGCTTGTACGGGGGAAGCTGCCCAACTGGAAACTCCTCAGCCAGTGCTTAGATAGGAATATTAGCCCCCCAATATCCTTCTTCATAATTTTGGTAGAACTAACAATCCCATGCTATACAACTAAGTCGAGCATTGTGCGGTACACACGGGACCTTAGTTTCACACTACGGAAGATCAGGCGATTATGACCATGGCCACCATCTTCATGTCCTTGGGCCGTGGTGGTGGCTCCATCGTGTGCTCTGGGCGGTTGCAAGGGAGTGAAGGGGGTTTTGAGATTACAGTTTGGGATGAGGGCTTTAGGCATTATTCATGAATATTCTTCGGGTGCGGTAAGAAATAGGTTTACGCAAGCTGGATTAACGGGTGTTCTCCAGGAGGAGGTTGGCACGTACGCTCCTCATGCAAGTTCCTCGAATGTAACCTTAGTTTTTTTTCTCTGGCCCCAACAGGCCTTCTTCAGGGGCCCATCCAAGACAGAGGCGTCTGGGCTAAATCGTGGGCCTTCAAGCTAACTAAACTCTAACAAGTATAGCAGAGCCTCTACAGAGCCCCTAGTGTGGACCCCACCCTTCGTAATCCCCATTTATCTCTGGGGGTCCACAATAGCCCATCTTCGGATTTGCATCGAACAGATTCAGACTCTCATACCAAGCATGCAAACCCCAAAATTCCCAAGGGCGCCGGAAAAGACTACTGTCCTCTTGAAAGGGGTGCAGTGGTTTCATATGTACTTGTTTCTTTTAATCTCGTCCTTGTAGAATCCTTCGGGCCCCCACAATCCAAATGGATCCCTAGGGTCCCTTAGGGTACCCCCAGTTGAGAAGCCTTATGTACGGGAAGAGTAGGTGTTCGGTGCTGGACCCGGACTCCTTCGCGCCGGTCCTGCTGGCGCTTTTCACGACTACTCTATTGCTGTTCTTGGGCTTGACTTAGAAGAAGGGAGCTGGATGATGGCGTATCACTGGAGCTTGAAATGGTGTTGACTTTAGGTTTCTGCTGACTGAGGGCTCCATGGGGGTGAGTACCATAAGCCAGCCAGGCTTTACGCTTTACAGTTGGCAAGGGGTGATGAAGTGGGAGTCTTCCCAACTCAAACAGCTGTTTCAACTTTCAACTCCGGGGAAAACGTTTTAGATATTGGGTGCTGCTCTGTCTCCAGGTGATGGTCGTTCTTTGCTCATGAGCGCTCCCAAATAGCTGAGAGAACTTCCTCGGCAGTCTTGTTGCTTTTGATACAGGGCAGTTTTTCTGTTCCAGGCATCCTAGGAGAAGGGCAAGGAAGCTGTAGCGCGAAGATTTGCACTAGCAGCAGAGACTTCAACTGGGCAGTCGTTTCATAAAGAGGGTTTCTCCACAGGGGATGAGGTTTGGTCCTCCATTCGTCCACTGGGTGCGAGCTTCCTTTTGTCCTGAGATGCGAGCCAACAAGCGGAGGTCATCGGCAACACGGAAGCACATGAAGCCGCACATCAAGGCAAGTTGAACAAGTTGTTGGAGTTCGCCTGTCACCCATAAATAGTTCTTCGAGGGGGAGCTGGTCGGTGGCTGAGCGCGGCAAGATTTAAGTGACTGTATATGCTGCTTATCGTACCTGGTACAGCCGGTTGAATTCGATGAACTAGCCTCGCAATCCTGATGCTCATGCCGTACAGAATCCACATGGCCACAAAGGCTTTGTGGACACACAGCACAGGACTTGGTAGTCCGCATAGCCAAGGCTCTCTTTATGCTTAGGGGGCGTAAGAGCGCCAGCTCACGCATGATCGCGAAGCTAGAAGGAGAAATCGTCACGAGCAGACCTTTCACATTCTTCTTGAGGTTTGCCGGACATTCATATATGGTGGTTCAGATGATGGCAGCCTGACAAGATGACACTGTTGGATGTTAGTGTTGAGCTTCTGCCGGCAATTTGCACACGGCTTCTTCTGCACAGCTCAAGGCTCTGAGCAAAACTCTTAAGCAGAGCTGTGCGAGTCCAGGATCCTAAGAGAGTTTTGAGCTTCAAGCCTCAAGTGTCTGTGCCCAGTGGCCTTTGTCTCGTGGGGCTGTTCGTCTGTAGATCTCCACGGCCTGTGTCCCTTGCCTTGCTTTTGCCCCCCAATGCCCAAAGGCCCGTTTCCACATTCCCAGCCTCTGAAACATACAATGGTTGCATTGTTAGACAGGTTCTACATAATCCCAAATACGGAGTCCGTACTCCCCTAATGCTTCCTGGAATTATTTCTCCAGGGTCACTGGAGGCTTCCATTTGCGAGTCTCCGATATGATGCTGCTGTGAGCGCCTTCCTGCGTGCTACCATTGATGGCCAGCAAGTCACCAAATCCGCATGAACCAGTACCCCACTGCCTACCGAGCTGCTGGGCATGGGCTTCTTAGGTCTTTGTGTGTGACCTCGCGCCGCAGCTGACGGACAGCAGGGCAATGGGAGGTATAGTAGGTTCTTGGGGCCGTAGTTTCGGTTCATTGAGATGGTGATTCAGAGGTTTACCTTTGGAATTCATAGGCGGGCAAACCTTACTGTTGGGTGCAGGGTCTGAGATGTAAAGACAGCTTAGCTTTGGGGTGTTTGAGAACAAAGCATTCCTGTTGCAGCAACATCCTTAGCTCAGCGCTCACAAAACTTGTTCAACGGTTTTAAGTCCAACCATTGCTATGTTGTTACCATGCCTATGGCTCTTAGCCTTTCTACATGTACTCAGAAGTTGGGTAGGTGGTGGGAACCTTCATGGAGGTGTACTTTCTAGATCCCCTAAATGGTCTGGGCAAGTCCTGCAGGAAACAGATCTTCGACATGTCTTTGCCTTCTATGGCGAGATTGTCTCCTTGGAGCACATTGACGAGGCCGCAGGAGTTGTGCTTCAGGGTCTAAGCTTAAGCTTTCAGGGTGAGATTGAGTATTTCAGCTTGGGGTTAACATGAATTGTTGAAGGAGCTGAAGCACATGAGGATGGGTTTGGGTGACGTTCAGTCGCGACGTCTGGACGTGCCCACAGGGATCATCGAGCAGAAGAATGGGGCCGGTCATCGAATGTTCTTACAAGCGGCTGGCACCTCTGAGATCTGCCCGGCTAGAAACTTGAAGCAAGCGCTTGCTTATCCTTGTGGGTTTTGTTGGTAGCGAACTTGGATGAGTGCCACGTGCACCCAAACAGGTGGAATGAGGTTCCGGCCGAACCTGTTCAAAGTAGCTAATGCCATCTCTGCAGTCTATCTAGAATCCTGCAATTAGTCCTACAAGATCTACATTATCTTGTTACAAGCTTGTCCAGCCCACAGACCCCAAACCCTAGACCACCAAGCCCGCTGAATCCTTGTGGTCAGGCCTCGGGGGGCTCTGCTCTTGTCACCTACACCACGCACGAGGCTGGAACAGCCCTGTTGCAAGGTAGTTCTCAAAACGAGGTGCGATTCTGGGTCCAGGCTTATGTATAGCGGCGGGACCAGGGCAGATGGGCACCTGATTTTGAGAAAGGGTTCTGCACCAAGCCAAGGATCCCCATTTTGAGGACTGCCAAGAATCAACAGATCGCTCACGCAGAAGCCTTAGACTAAACCTTCAAAAGCCCTTGAAGCCCTTTGGCCCTATACCGATACCCTAAAACGTAAGCCCCAAACCCTCAAACCCTTGAACCTGTACACCCTTAAACTCTGAACCCTTGGACTTGGCCGAGTCCTGAGGCTGCTTCTGAGGCCGCCCAGATAGTCCACTTGGCATTAGTCCGAGGCCTCTCAGGGGATTTTGCAGTGGTCAATGTTGATAACACCGGGGTGTAGTAGGGTTACATGCGGGTCCTTTGGGGAAAACGAAGGACATGTTGAGGTTCTAGAGGGTTTAGGATTACATAGGGATTACATTAGGCTTTGAAGTGGCTATGTGGAATATGAGAGCTTTAGGAAGTTTGGTGGTCCCCGAGGAACCATGTTGAAACAGGCCAGAGTCTACAAGGGATCCCTTTCGGGTATTCTTGAGGGGGGTGTGGTCAGGGCCAGACATGACTATCCTTTCAGGAATCTTCAGGTCTTTTTGTCGTCGTGGGCGTAGAGTTCAGGGTACAGGGCCCAAAACCCTAAACGCTGTGAGATTCACGGCCTCAAAGGCTATCGGATTAACGGCCGCCATGTGTTGTCTGCTGGCTCAAGCTGGGCTTCTGCCTCTGAGCAGAAGCTGGAAGAAGTTGTCATAAGCTATTTCAACTAACACATGTTAGAGCTTCTCCCAGCTTTGTCCCCCAGCCACTGTGCATCAGAACAGCCAAAATTCAAACCTCAAGCTTTACCTGAAGCACCCCAACCCCGGCCCCCCCCCCCCCACCCACCCTGGACCCCAAACTTCACAAGATCTTGCTGAGTGCTTTGTAGCCTCCCAGCCGCTGGTGTGAGCGGTTTCTTAGACAGTTCCAGCGTGCGAGCGGCCTTGCGCCGGCAGCCCTGATCCAGCGTTGGTCTCAGAAGCTCAGAAACCCCTTGCAAGGTCGTCTGTGTTTTAATGTTTCTCGTAAATATCACATGGAGACATTGTGCTGCGGACACTAGACAGGATCGCTAGCTTGACGACCTGTAAGCAGGTGCAACGGAAAGGAGTAACAAGAACTATGACTATCAGCCTTGGCAGATCCTCTGCTCCTCCATATTCCCTTGGTCTTGATGTGTGACCGTTGTAAAATTTGGGATTCAATAACGCATCCTATCCATCTGTACTGGATACTGTTGCACGCTACCCCTAGCAAAGTTTCAAGTGTAGCTTTCTCCTGAGCTCATTTTGGGGTGGCTGAATCGCACTCGAGATGATTGAGACCCAGTGCTGAGGTATACGTCTCGTATTGAAAAGTCCGTCTCATATTGAAAGGTCCGTTCCCTCTTCCTCACTCGGTAAGTGCTAGGGGCCTGGTTACCCATCCTGATGAGCATACACGTCACTCAACCTTAAATGCAACATCATACCTCAATTCTTCTGAAACTCTTTAGGCCCTGTATTAAGTTCTGACCAAGAAGCAACGCCCCATCAACTGACGGCAAACTGGTGTTAGCCAATCCTGCAATTAAAGGGTTGTTCTGGCTGAGGGATGACTGAGTGGTGGGTTTCCCAGAAGAAGCACTTCTGCGAGTACTGCAAGGCGCCAGTTTGGGGTGGGGGAGTTGTCTGTTGCGCGATGTAAAGTTGGTTATCTTTTTCGAAGTTGTGGCTTGTCTTCCTTTGTTTGTGACAAGCCTTATGATTTCCACAAGCGAATAGTTGAGCTGTAGAATCGAGATCGGAGTTGAGGGAGAAGGCACCACCACAGCTTGTGGGAATCGGGACACGTGTACTTCTGCGTGGCTTGACTTTGATTTTGTTTGGCGCAGGTTCCTATGTGTCAATGATCATGAGAGTACTTGACCGCGGTTGTGGTCTTGAAGTCCTGGGCGGCAAGCGTATAATACACTCCCAGAAACAGGCGACAAGAAGAGATGCCAGCAGCATTGAGCTCTGAAGCCCGCATTACAAATCCCATGCACCAGCCTACCGACAATGCTGACTTCTTTTTCTTCTTCTCGTGGCACAGCACAAGAGCACTCAAACAGGCGCTGCTTCTGCAGCCCGGTCGTGGTGAATGTATATAGATCTGGCTGAGCAACATGTCCATGCATATATGGGGCGGGGGTCGTCGGGTGCTTGTCTGGTGTCGGGTTTGAGCTCTACGGCTGTAGACCAAGGATATCGGGTGTAGTGGCTGCATGGATTCGCTCATGGGTGCTTCGATCAGGTGTGGACCGGTGGCCATCTCTGGCAGATCAGGCGGAGTTTTTGAAAAACAAGGTGTAGTTAGATTGTGTGTTGGGACCTTTGGAAGTTTCATTCTCGTTAACGTTTTAAGCGTACTCCCCCAGACCAGTAATGCAAAAGTAAAGGGCTGCGAATATTTTGATGGGCTGCAAGCCGGGGTCTAGCATGCAGCGCAGCACTTCAGGTTCCTTTCTTCCCGTCCGTAAGCTGCCCAGTAAAAAGCCAGGTTAGGCTTCCTCACCGTTCAAAAGTTCAACCTCGTCCTCGAAAGGGCCAATGGCGTCTAGATCCAAGTGTAATGGGGACTGCTCGGGGACATGCTGTTCATAAATAGCTGAAGAGCAAGGGTTACGTACCATTTTCAGACAGCTTTCAAGCATTTGTTTGGGGTTCTACGACCACCGGATTTGGAGGAGGGAGCCTTGTAATGCTGCTGGGGATGGGTGAGTGAGGCAGGACGTATTCTTGAAAGGCCACCACTTACGGGTTCAAGTGGGGAAGCATGGTCTCCAGTAATTGTCCCTTTAGGAAGTGGAGACGCGTAGACTTTCTGGCAAGGGGTTCACGTCCGGTTTGGATGCAGCGTGTAGGAAGCTCTGAGCAGGAAGCATGAAGAGGGTCGCATGCACCAAGAGAAGAAGGAGGCCGGACCTGCTCGACTTAGCTCAGATCAGCCTCGGGTTTGCTGTTTAGGGGCTTCGACTTTCGGGTTTTTGTG